GAGCAGAGTAAGGCTTAACTGGTTCTTTTTCCCCGACATTGTCCGGAGTTCTCTTGGCTCTTGCTAGGTTTCAGGAGTATAGCAGATCTTGGCAGAGGTGCCCGGTGGTTTTTGTTATGTTTAAATAAGCAGTGGTAGTGCAAGACAAATAATTCAGGATTTCGGTAACTGGCGCTTATGTCTTGCGATTGCTTCATCCGTTTAAGAACTGATCCAGTTGTGGCTGACCATGTGTGCCAGGAAGGAGAGTTTCTCTCTCAGCTGTGCTGATTCTGGAGCAGCACTGCCTCATCTGGGAAACTGCAGCTCAGAACATAATTCCTTAATGTCAGCTCTGCTTGGGCTCCCGGGAGCAGCCTGCACGTTCCCTGCTGCCCAGGGAGAGCCAGGGGTGTGTGTGACTCTGGGAGCCTCGTGTAGCACCTCGTCCTTCCCTGTGCTCAGTGCCTGGCACTGACACCAGCGGCCAGTAATTGGGTCGTAAAATGAAAGTTGAGAGGGAAGGCACCAGGGAAAGTGTAATCTGACACTGTTGTGTTGAGCTGCCTGGAGGAAAAGTCAGCGTTTGTTTACTCTGGGGGGAAGGAATAACAGGAGATCATTTTTTAGGAAATAACCCACCTGTGTAGTTTGTTCTACCTGCACGTACAGATTTGGAATAGGAAAACCACCCCCCCATACACACACATTAATTAGGGTTTTTTTTCCATGGTTTCAGTGCAATATTCTTGATTAAGAAAATATCAGTGAAAATATTGGAGCAAGATTGCAGAGATCCACTGCAAAAGTATAGTCAGTTGCCATTATTAGCAAGTGAAAAGTGGAATTTTAGTCATGCTTGGGAAGTGCTGCTGAAAATACTTTGCTTAAGAAAGAAGTGGTGACAGTGGCAAGTGGCGGAATTTCTGAAAGTTTATATAAATGAAGAGAGTTTTATTGCAGTTCAGAAAGAAAGAAAGATTGCTGAAACTTTCCAGCTAAGAATTTTAGTAATCATATCATCAAATTATAGAGGAATATCATAAAAGGTTCATTGTAGGTTTATTCATGAGAATGAGGTCAGGGAGTTGATAAGCATTAGGTGCAGAGAGACATCTGTGATGGTAATTAATACTTTAAGGTTGTAGTCCAGAGCAGTTAAATGTGCTTTGTTTCAATTAATATAATTGTGTTTTGCTGCTAGTTTTTGGGGGTTTTAAAAAATAATTAACAATACTTTCGTGAACACAAATCCTCTTTGGTTTTTTGGGGTCCTTTTCATTTTTAAAGCCTTTGGTGAAAGTACAGTTCAGAAGAGTTTTCTCTCCAGGTGATTTCCTGTAGCTCTCTGGGAAGGCAGCAGTGTTTTCTGCTCTTGTATTTTCCTGTTGGTGTGGGCAGCTCTTGTATTTGTGCTGGGAAATGTGGTGCTGTCTGAGCCAGACAGTCTGGACCACTCCTGGAGCAGTTTTCCAGGACTTGGCAGCAAAGGCACATCACATCTGAAGTGCTGGGTTTAAGTACTACCTCGGGAAAATTGGCTTAATTCATGCCCAGTTTTTCACTTTGTTTACCAGAGTGGCTGCTGAGCGCTCAGTGGAGGTGGTGCCCTCTTGAGAGCCTGGGGTTTGGCTTTGCCGGGTGGGTTTCTCCCATCTCGCAGGTGCCTTTGGCCTTTAGCTGTCAGGATCGGCAGGTTTGGGCCAGCGGCCGTGTCCCCAAGGCCTGGGTTCCCTGTCCCCCAAACCATGCTGGCACATGTTCCACATGGTGTTCCCATGAGCACCCTGCACAGCCACTCTGGTCTCATTCCGTGTTACCCAGCAGGGCTGCAGTGATTCGGAAAGTTTGGAAATAACATGGCTGTAATATATTTCATATACATGTCAAGAGAAGATGGGCTCTGAACCTCAGCAGGGTTTCCACCTGGATAATAATTTAGGCACATAGCTGTGTGCTGAGGCACGGCACAGCGTGGCTGTGGTCTGAGGAAGGTGTGTGCCTGGTTTACTTTAAGGCCACCAAAATCCAGTTGCATTTACCGTCGGGATCGTGTCTGCCTGCTCTGAAATGAAGCAATATCTGGGTTGGAATGCAGCATCTCTTTAAACAGTGCCCAGAAATAGCACGCAACAATTTTCAGGTCAGGAAGCTGGGAACATCCTGATCATCTCAAAATGCCAAGGGAACTGTAGGTGGGTGGAGTGTTATTTCCCAGCTGGTGTCTGGCCAGGGAACCAAAGCACCTCTGAGAGCTCTGTAGCCACAGTGCTCCAGCCTCAGCCCGGGCTGGCAGCTGGCAGCAGCACGGGTCCTGGGGGCCTGTTCCTCTTGTCACAGCTTGTCACCGTCCCTGTCCAGTGCTTCGGTTTGGGGCAGCCATGGCTCTGGTCTGTGGGTCTTGCTGGTTCCCAGGCCAAGGTGGTCACGTTTTCATGCAGGGGCGTTCCATGGGAACCCCTTTGAGATCATTGCCAACCTTAGGAAATTCTCAGGCGCTTTAGGAGTTTGTTCTGCAGTGTTGGTGATCAGTTGTTGGTCCAGGTTAGGAAACAGGCAAGAGGAGTTCAGGAGCAGGGCTGCTGGGAGAGCTGTCCTGATGATGTTGCTCTAAGGAAGCAGCAGAGAAGCACAGCATTGCAGCTTGCCTGGTGCTGCATGGCAGCAGCAGAGCCTTTCCTTGGGAGAGCTGCGTGTGCCGGGCGTGTCAGCTTGTGTACCCATTTGGGGGGGCTTAATTGTACTTTGCACATGGCTAAATGTCTTGTCCCTGTGGGAGCTGCCCCCTCCTGCAGGTCCTTCACGCTGGTTGTGTGACCTTTTAGTCAGTCCTGACTAGCCTGTTGTGCCTCTGCTGTTTTCCAGCTTCTCATTTCTGTTCAGGCTGGAATAAAGTGGAGTTGAGTTGCCTGTTGTAGTTGCTCGTGTGCTCAGCTATTACCCAACTGTAATGTCTGTTTCATCTTATGGGTGCACATCTGAGGTAATGTTTACCTTTTATTCCAGAGCTGAAACGAGCAAGTCTCTAAGAGCTGAACTGTTAACTATTGACACTTTCCCTTCTGGAAAACAACAAGCTTCAGTGACTGAAATGAGCATCAATGCAACAGTTTATTCATACTTTTGTGTGGTTCCAAGTAAAGCTGATGTGTGTGTGGCAACCCCCGGCTCAGCTAAATGTTCTGGTTTGCACTGAAGTGTCAATGGATGCTTTTCCTCTCTCTGCTGCTTTGGAGACTGAGGGTGTTTAGGGCACTGCAGCTTTATCCCAGGCTTTTCTTCCTGGCTTGCAGCTTGGACAGGCACCAAGTTGCAGCCTAATTTTTACACACAATTGCCTTGGGAGTGTCACCTTGTCACCTCAGTCTCCTGAGATGAACAGTGAGTTGTTTCACATTCTGAGGTGTTTGGCATAATTGATAAAAAGCACCAATTTATAATTTCTGAAAGGCACCAGTTAGGAGGACAAGTGGTGATGCGATTCCCCCCCAGTCAAGCCCCTTCTCTGGAGCCCTCCTTTCAGCACTAGTTGTACTTGGTCCATGAAGATGTATCTTGAAGGGTTGTTCTCAGCCTTGATTCCCAGGAAGAACCAAGATAGTACTGGAGCCTTGTGCCTCCCGGGGCTTGGAGCTTTGGAGTTTGTTTTGTCTTTCTGCTTAGGAAAAGGCCATGGAAAAGTACTGGGAAAGCTAGCTACTAATGTGATAGGTGACAGAGTTACAAATATGTGTGTGAAGAATACAGGGGGCAAACCCCAAACAGCATCATTATAATGAGAAATGGGGAAAAGAAGGCAGTGGAAAAGGTTCCTGTGGCTCATGAGGTGCCTTTGCTGGAAGCAGGAAGCCCCAAAGTGAGAATGCCTAAATTTTAGAGCTGTGGAGGCTTGCAAGAGAAAATTCTTTTCACAGACAAAAATACTAAATACTAATATTAATATACTAGCCTCCCCCCCTTTTCTTCGAGATGTATGTGTACAGTCAAGTGTTAGATGAAGACTGAGTTGTACAAGAGCCCTGGCTCTGGCAAAGGTGACCATATGCCTGCAGAATTAGATGAGGAGGTAATGCTGCTTACAGAGCTGGCTGGGACTCGGGGGTTTCCAGTTCCACTGTAAGCTACAAACATATTTTGTTGGCTCAGGTTCTTTAAGGCTGTTTCTAACCTCCCTGAACATATTCTGTATTCATGACTTGTGTCCTTCTTGAGCTAAAGGCTGCAAGAAGAGATGTAGCAGTAGGTGTGTATTTTCTTCAGAGCAGTTGTTCTTGGAGTGACTGTACTGGAAGCAGGAGGTGGCGAGTACTTTGGATTTGCCAGTATTAAGGGGAAAACATGTTAATTCCCTAAAAACAGGGCATGCTACCAGGTTTTTCTAGTATTTGCTAGGAAGAAGGTTAATAGTCAGAACTCTGTAATGAAAAATCTACTCCCTGTTTTTTACTTAAAATTGGAAAAGCCGTGGTGTCCTTGGTGCTTTTTGTGTTGTTCTATAGCATCCAGCACAGGATGTGTCCACTCTGTGGGGATCACGAAATGTCATCCTCTCTTTGTAGTAGAAACAGAATTCTTATGAGGTTATCATAGAAAATATGAATTTTAATATTAAACTTAATGCTCTGCTATGAGAAATATGTAAACTTGGCTGTGCAGCAGCAGCATGCACTTCCTGGAATTCCGTGCATAGCGTGGTTATAAATAGGCAGCGGGTTATTTGGGAATCACTGGGGCTGTATCTGGTGTCACAAACAGGATCTGAGCAGAAACTGCATTCCCTGGTAGATGGCTGGCTTTGGAGGAACACATGTGGGCTCAGAAACCTGTTTGGAGTGTCATGAGAAATACTGTGCTAAGATAAATGAATCACAACAGCAAATCATGGGCAGCAGTAAGGGGACAGAAACCAGTGATTGCTAAAATAACGGTACTCGACCATCTTTATTTCGGGCTCATTGTGACTAGATTGATAGTTATTACTTCTTTGCTTTTCTGATGTAAGTTTGCTTTCTGTGTGACAGACCAGAGACGACTTCCTGGGCCAGGTGGATGTGCCGCTCAGTCACCTGCCGGTAAGCACCACACCTCTGTACCCCTGGGAACATTCTCTTAGAGCAAGAGCTCCCAGCAGAGCTCAAAATAAACTCCTGTGGACAGCCAAGCCTCACCTGCGCAGGGACAGGGAGCTGCATCAGCTGTGCGTGGAAGGGATGCACTTCCTGTGCCACAAAAGCTCCATGAGAGCAGCTTTGCTTCAGCAAATGCATGAAAAGCCAAAAGGCTGCCAGAGCTGTGTCGTCTGCTCATTATTTTAGCTGAAATTGAACTCTTTGCCAACAGTAAGAGTTCAATAGCAATCAATTGAAACTAATGGACACAGGGTTTGAATCATTTTATTGTCAATAGACATTTGAGGTGTTTGGTTTGAAGGTGGTAATGTTTGTGTTTCTTATTTAATGGAGGAATTCAGTGTAAAGCTGGTTCTGTAATTCTGTAAAGCTCCAGTTGTCTGGTTTTCCCCCAGCAGCCAGGATTCTGCATGGGTTGCAAATTTAGATGCTAAATTAAGTGCAATTTCTATTTCTAGGTTTATAAATAGGAATAAATATATATGTGTATGTATATACAGTGATTGCAGTAGCCTTGCTACAAACATTTCTGATATTATATACTGTTTTGGATGACTAACATTGGCTGAATGTAGTTAATATTTTTTAAATGTTGTGCATGTTAATCTTAACATATGCCAGTTATGTCAGTTGAGCATAACTGGCTTTTTGTGTCTGATTTTGACTTCTTGCTATTGATGGATGTTATTGTAGGAGAAAAACTGCTTTGTAATGAGGTGCACTGTGAACTTGTTTAGACCTATCTGTTATGGTTGATCTGAGTGTGTGGGGTTATCAGCTGTAACAGCAGAGAGCTACCAGGGAAGGATCAGGAACCCCTTTGGTGACAAATGTGTGCTTCCCTTCTCGTGGGAGCTGTTGGCATCCCAGCTGTGCTGTGCAGGATTGCTTGCTGTGGGCTTGTTGGATATCTCCATTTATGTATCCTGGTGCACAGCCCTGGTGGGACAGTGGGAAGAGTCCTTCCCCCTCAGGCATTTTCCATGGCACAGCTGCTGTGTCTCAGAGCAGTCCCTCCCTCAGTGGCTGTGCCCTTGCAGGACCTCAGTGGGCACTGCCCTGCCTGCTCCTACCCCGTTCCAGGGACAGTTCCCTGTTGGGAAGGTGGGTGCACTCTGTGCATGTGCAGTCGTCCTTCCACTACCTTGGTAGGAGCCACTGGCATGTATTTATTAACAAATTAACAGTCAGCTTTCTCATCCTGCTGATTTGTTTGTCAGAGTCCTCATTTCTAATTACCATGGACAGAATTTGGGTAAATAATACAGCTCCTCAGAGGGAGCACTAAACAGCAGTGTGGGTCGTGCATGCCTTGGTGTCCTGGTGAGCTGTTCAAATCTGCCATCTCTGAGCAAAATGGGCAGAAATGTGTCTCTCCCAGAGGAAGTGGACACTGGGTCAGGCAGTGAAAGGGATGTGGCTGCCAAGCGTAATGCAGCTCATGCTTTGAGTTTAGAATAGAGTTCTCCAGACAATCAGCAGGGGAAGTCTGTGTATGGATTCATCATCCTTTGCCCTTGGCACCTGAAATTCCTAGTTCCGTGCCCACAGCAGCTGTGTGTCTGCACAGCTGTGCAAAGGATGCGACTTGGTAAGAAAGCTGAAGTTCTCAAGGAATAGAAAGTTTTCAAGATTCCAGGCTTTAGGTAACTTAGGATTCAGTGGAAATCAGAGAAGTAATCTGTCAGCCTGATGTGTGAATGTTCTTTATGTGGCTGGAGTTGTGGGCAAGCCCTTTAATTTGCCATTTTTTCCACTGCTACAGACTGAAGACCCAACCATGGAGAGGCCTTACACATTTAAGGATTTCCTCCTCAGACCAAGAAGGTGAGAGGAAGGAGCTTTAAAACATTTGAGGACTTTAAAACATTTCTTACTTCATTATTTTTTATTTGCAATTATTTAAGAGTCTTAAATGCAATGTACCTCCTTGTCTTGTAGCCACAAATCTCGTGTGAAGGGTTTCTTGAGACTGAAGATGGCATATATGCCCAAAAATGGTGGCCAAGAGGAAGAAAACAGTGATCAGAGGGATGACTCTGAGGTAAGGCTGAATCCTCAAGGAAGGATTCAAGAATCATTGTAGAGTCAGCTGCACTTGGAGGATAAAGCCCTGGAAACAGAGTTGGCAGTTGCTTCTCTTTGGCACCAAGCCACCACCCAGCCACCTTTGGGAATCCCTCTGGCTAGACTGCTGGGGATTTAGCTCTTTTCTCCCTGGAACGAGGTGCACACTAAGCACAGAGCTCTTTGTCCTTGCTTCCCCAGCACGGCTGGGACGTGGTGGATCCCGGCGATGCCGCATCGCAGCGTCAGGAGGAGCTGCCGCCTCCCCCGCTGCCCCCGGGCTGGGAGGAGAAGGTGGACAACCTGGGCCGCACCTACTACGTGAACCACAACAACAGGAGCACCCAGTGGCACCGGCCCAGCCTCGTGTAAGCAGCTGGGGCTGCGCGGGAGGGAGAGCCAGGCTGCGGCTCCAGTCAGAAAGGAAACGTGCTTTGTTTGTGCCTGGCAGAGACTTGCTTGCCCCCAGCAGATCACACAGTGCTCTGGGAAATTCCAGGAACTCTGGGATGGCAGGGCACCTTAGAATGCACCTTACAATATTAGGAGACAGATAAGGAATTTTTCAATAATTTAACAGGGGTAAATTACTTTGTTTATAGAGACCGTTGAAGAGGTATGGGAAAAAAGTCAACTCTACCAAATTTTAATGAAGTTGAACAGATTAACTTTGAGGAGATCCTGGTTAGTATTCTGTGAATAGGCTTCATTCCCAGGCTGTGCTGTCAGAGAGCACATGTGGCAAAATCTCAAAATTCGATTTAGAAAGCTGTGGCAGGCTTACATTTTACAGAGTGTGAATAACTGGCAGTGTTAGGAGTTATAGTGAGATCATGTGTTTAACCCTGCACTGCCAAGACCACTGCTAAACCACGTCCAAGGAAGTGCTGGATGCCCCTTGCACTGGACACGTTCGAGGTTGGGCTCCACAGAGTGCTGGGTCATCTTGTCTAGGCCATGGTTTCCCTGCCAGCAGAGGTTGAACCAGATGACCCCTGAGGTCCTTCCCAACCTGGTGTTCTGTGATATTTGTGAAGTGCTTCCAGTTTTATTTTCTTTCAACTGAGGGGTTAAACAGTCTCCTAATTATGAAGCTTGATACATACATGAATAATCAAAAGCACTACTGAGGTTTTGAAGGCAATGGACAAAACAGGGGGCTTGGTTTAACTTGGGCTCTTTTCCTGTTCTTTTCTCCTTCCCGTGCTGGGTTCCCCCTGCAGCGACGTGGGATCCGAGTCAGATAACAACATCAGGCAGATAAACCAAGAGGCAGCTCACAGGCGCTTCCGCTCTCGGCGCCACATCAGCGAGGATTTGGAGCCAGAGCCTGCGGAGAGTGGAGACATTCCTGAGGTATGCCCAAGCCTTGGGCTGAAGGAGCTGACTAAACCTGGAGCTAATTGCCACACGGCACAGCCGGTCGTGGGTTTACACGGCGTTTGTGGCAATTGCCTCGGGAAGATGCCAGCAGCACAATGGCACTGCAGCCAGAGGCACACTGCCAGGGTCCTGGGCAGCTGCAGCTGCCTGGTGCCCTGTGGACAGCACCGAGTCCCATGTAGATGCTGGGAGAAACATTTATCATTCCAAATTGCTTGTCTTATGTACACTGATAGAAACACTTCCATATTCTGCTCTAAACAACAGTGGAATAAATGATAAAAAGGGGAAGTGGACTGGCTGTAACTGCCCTGTGCTTCAGTTTTCTATAGTGCCTTGATTTAGGGTGAAGGGAAGGTGTTGTTTGTGTGTTGGGCACAGTGAGGTGATCACACAGAAGGCAAAGGGAAAGAAGACTTTGTCTGTATAAAATCTGAACTTAGTTTCTTCTCTTTCATTAGCCTTGGGAAACCATTTCAGAGGAGGCAAGTGCCAGTGGGGATTCCTTAAGCTTGTCACTGCCACCTCCTCCTGCATCTCCAGTGTCCCGGACCAGTCCTCAGGAGCTGTCTGAGGAGCTGAGCAGAAGACTCCAGGTCACTCCTGATTCCAATGGGGAACAACTCGGCTCTTTGATTGTATGTAATGTGTAACCCTTAAAGCTCTGTGCAGAAATGTGCTGTTCTTTGGCATAACCTGGATCACTTCATGCACAGGGAGCAACTGCTGGGCTCGGGAAACCCTGAGCATGCAGTTACAATTCCCTTCCAAAAAGTGTATGACAGCTTCACCAGCAAGCACTCTGCCTCAGACAGCAGAATTCCTCTGTTCAGATTTCAAGAGTTCCATGTGAGTTTAACTTCAGACTCTGCTACTGTTGGACCTTTAGTGAAACAAAATAGATGAGAGTCAAGGGTATCGAGGTCGGAATTTCCAAAGGAAAAGGAAAAACAAAAAAATGGTCTCTCTATTTGTGTTATCCATTAGTCAGATACCATTAAAAAGTCAGGATAATGCATGTACAAGTGGGGGAATGTTTTATGTCTCTTTGATTACAAAAGTAATTGTAAATATTAAACAGAGCATCATGCTCTTACTTATTTTTTTTTCTTAGTATGATGCTCTCAAGGTACCTCTGCAGGTAGAGGTACCTTGATAAAGAGTTTTATCTTCAAGAGATAAGAAATACTTTTGTTCTCATCAAACAGAATCTTGACCAGGTGTATTTTTCCCAAAAAGCCAGTGCAGTTGGGCTCTGACTGATGGGAGTGTCCCCTGGAGGTGGCTCAGCCAGTGACAGCTCTGAAGCTCTCCTGGATCTTCAGGGGCACTTGGGCTTGTGCTGAGAGCTGCAGTTCTTGCAGCCCCCACTGGTTCTACTGCAGATGTGTCAGTGCTGTGTTTCCCTAAGCACTGCACTCCCTGAGTGCCCCAGCTGCACTGGTGGGGAGGAATTGCACTCTAGTGTCACACGTGATGTGTGTCTTTAGGGGGACTTTGTTTCTAGGTCAGTCATGAAGGATGTGTCATGGGAAAAGACACAACTAATTCAAAAGTTAGCAGCAAAGAGGAAGATTGAAACTGATTTTTATTTGTTTTTAAGAAATACCATAAATTTTTAGGTAAATGAATTTTTAAGACTTTGAGCTCTCATCCATAGTATTTGATTTTGGATATGTCTCTTAGTGCTTTATTTTTTTCAGTAATTCATGAGTTTGTTCATGTTGGCATTTCTCCTTTAGGAAAATGGATGAGCCCTTTTAATTTAGTATATAGGAAGTAGAGAAATGGGATATACCACTCTGTGGTAAAACAGAAGTAGGTAATTGTTTGCTATAAATTGCCTGTAATTACTGAATTTTCTGAATAAACATCATGTTTTAAGACACCCTAACATGGAGACATCTTTCTGTTTTCTTCCTTGCAGCAAAGAGAACCTTCTTCACGACTGAGGTCCTGCAGTGTGACAGACACAGTCGCTGAACAGTCCCAGCTATCCCTGGTAAGCCAGAGCTCCTTTTTGGGTGGACATTCTCTCATTCCGAGCCTTGGGTCAGCTCACTCAGGCACAGATCAGTGACCAAGGTGGGCATCTGGTTGTCCCAAGCCAAATTCATGTGAGCTAAAAAAGGAGGACATTCCTGAGACAGGAAAATGTTTGGAGACTGAGCAAGTCACCCTCTCCTCAGTTATTTACCATGGAAATTTAGGTTACTGCACTGCCGTGTGCACTCAGTGGAGAAACTCCTCCAAGGGGTGTTCCCAGCTGGGGGAGGAGAGGGCAGGAGAGCCAGCTCTACCTGGAGCTGCAGCCACAGGACTCTGATAGCAGACAGGTTTCTGTGGCCCATAAGTTCGTTTTACTTGCAATATATAAATCTGTGTAAAATCCCAAAGGTGTTTTGCCTGGCTGTAGAGAAAAGGAGGCAACTTCTGCAGGTTTATTTAAGGAGATTGTTCAAACAGGAAAAGATACTAAGATGTTTTGTAAAGAAAGCTTCTCTCTCCTGTCAGAACCAAGCACACTGTGCTCCAGCTGACAGGAAGTGGTGCCTCTCCTGCAGGATTGCAGAGGTGGCAGGTTTGTTCTCTCTGCCACCTCTCAGCAGTAGGTGCAGAGACCACTTAAAATAGGAGTGTGCAAGGTCTGCTTTTGAGTAAGATTGGTTAGATTGCAAAAGAATCTTTCAAAAGATTATACTTTTCTTCCAAGAGTTTTTTCTTCATTTTTTAAAAGTTATAGATATGTCCCATGTGAATCTGCAAATGGAAAACCTGTGCATTTGTTAGCAAAGTTGCTGTGTCTGTGTTGCTTGTTGTCTCTGCTTCTCTTGGGTGGACATTTCCAGAAACCACAGAGGATTTCTCGTGGCTGGATTTCCCCCTGCTGTAGCAGTTATTTAGTGGGCTCTGGGTGGGTCCCAGTGCAGCCTCTGTGCCTGGCTGCAGGGACAAGGCTGCTGTGCTCTTGCTTGCTGTGTTCAGCACGCTGGGGCCAGGGGCTGGGCTGGGCTGGGGAGAGAGAGGCCTTTCTCCTGCTTCTTGATCTTCAGATCAGCACAGAGAGCATTGCCCTAAACACCCTCGTAGCTGAGCTTAAGCACATTTCATCCTTGCTGAGCTAATGATCATTTCTCTTCTGGCTGCTGGGTACATGTTCCTCCTAAATCCAGCGCTCCTCTGGGGTTCTGCCTTGGTTACCAGCAGCTGATGCCTTTCAGATTTGCTATTGCCCACCTAACTGCTCTCTCTTGGTAAACGTGTCTGATGCCTTGCTCCTAAAGATGTGACAGTAGCCTGTGGCCTTCTTCAGTAAATCTGTGTAACATGAATTATCATTTAACAGCAGAATGGTCCCTCTAGGAGAGCTCGTTCTTCAACTGTCACAGGGGGCGAGGAGCCAACGGTAATAAACTCTTTATCAAGCACTGTCTTTAAATAAAACGGGGGGACATTTAGGTCTTGTACAATGAGGATTTTTTTTTTTAAAGCAGCTATGTGTTGGATGAAATACAGCTATTGAATGAAAACTTAGATATTTTTGTCCCAAATTTTCTCAACATTTCTCCAAACTCTGCAATTGTACTCAAATACTGGCAAGGTTTAGGGACACAAATGTGATATTGAATTATGACAAAGCTGTGTATTAAGTAAATGCCATGTGCTCCTGAAAAATGAAAGCTACAGCAGCTAATTCTTTTAAAAGGGGTACTGGAAGCTGCAGTGATTAGAGACATCAAATCATTGTACATGTAACTGTGTTTGTATCCTGTATCTTCTTGTCTTCCCTTACTCTCCACTAGACTAATTAATTTTAATTCTTAAAGTTGGTCTTAATTTGAGAGCCTTGGGGGTGCAGTGATATAGCACAGAGCTCTTAATGGTCTTACTGAATGCCAGTTTCATTTTGCAGCAGTTCCTCAGCAGTCCAAGCAGTACAAGACTGTAGTTTGATCATCCCATAAAATCCTTGATATGCTTTGCTGAATGTGCAATACAAGGAAAGTGGGTTTAATCTATATTGAACTTTAATCTAATTATATATGTTGCACCTTTAACCTAATTAACTGCCAGTCTGGAGTTATTTGACAGAAATCATTTACAGTAACTGTCATAAATGGCTTTTATGAATTTAGGCCCTCCTGGAGAATTAGTTTCAGAGAAAGAAATTTAATTTATACTTGGTATAAATTGCTATTTGCATCTGGGAAATAAATAAATCTTACTTCAGGTGTTGATGCATCATTCTGTTATACTGTCTATATTCACTGGTTTTTAATTTTAGAACCAGAGGAGCACACTTGCAAATAGCAAAGTCTAAATAAAATGCCTGACTCATTAGTAGTTAGTTAATTGTGCTAGGTGAACTTGCACGGTAGTGGTACTCCCTTGGTAGAGCATCTTGTCTTGATTTGACTTTTTAGAGCAAAATATTAATGTTTTGGCTCATCATTAGTGCAGCCATAGCAAGGTGTTTTACCTCACCATGCTGCAGTGTCTAACCCCCCTTGTCTTTGGTCAGCATTTCCACCCAGAGCCCCAGGTCTGTGGAGGAGTTGGGACTCACACAGGATTCGTGGTCTAAATCTTTGTCTTCAAAGGCTGCATTCTCTTGGCTCTGTGGGCACCTGATGCTTGCAGACAAACAACCTGTCAGCAGTGAAAGCCTCTGCTCACCTTGGTTTTGCCTGCAGAATCCCTACAGAGCCCCTCCTTGGAGCAGGACCCACAGGCCCAGGCCCAGAAGCAGTGTCCTCATGCCTGAGCTGTACTGAGACCCTGTGGGGTGTTTGCACAGTGGCTGTCAGTGCCTGACCCCAGAGTGATGGATTGACAGCCACTGGCACAGCGTGGGCAAGGTGTTCTCATTGCCTGCCAGCCCTGTGAAGCAGCACAGGGGAAATAGCCCTTGGCTCTCCAGGAGAGAAGGAAATGAGTCTGAGAGGGATTCTCATCTGGTCCTAGTGGAGTGTGTCAGCCTCCTGACCCATCCCATATCTCTTCTCCTTTCCTGTCTCCATTATCCCTGCAGTTCTGCAGTTCCTTGTGGCACCTGTGCTCTGCTCTTAAACAGCACCTGCACTGCCTGTGGCAGTTGCTCTGGGGAGGGTCTGGCAGAGATGAAGCAGGAACAAGAATTAAGTTCATTTTCTTGCTGAAGCAAGGAGTATAGTGGGGAGGAAGAGAATGTGTCCTGGATTTCAGCAGGAGCCTCCAGAGGCCTTTTCTGTTTTTTCTTGGCAAAACCCCAGAGCTTGTAGTGCATCAGCCTCTGAATTAGGCAGGTCCTTCATCCCACTTGGTTCCAGTTCCTGGCTCATGTCTATGAACTCATGCTTGGGTGTTTTGGGGACAGGCAGGACACACAGGGACACAGTTCCTGTGGGCAACGGGACGTGACTCTTCCCTTACCTGTGTTCTTCTCTTAGAACAGGGAGCCTGTGGAGCCTTCACTAAAAGTTTTTGTCATGCTGAAGTTGAGGCTCCAGTGTGGGGTTTTCTGGTGGTGTTGGGACACAGAAGCCCTGAGTGCAGCATTTGTGACAGAGCAAAATGGTTAAAATTCACTTTCTAAACCCACAGTAGTTTCTGGCAACTGATTCAAGACACCCTGGGGTAGAGAGCAGGGGGATCTTGACTGCATGGGTATTTAACTCTTACTTATCCATCCTGATAAAAGGAGGAAACCTCAGCCTTTTAAGGAAAACTCACTAAAACATAGAGTTCCTTTTTGTCATTATGTGTAACAAAATAGAATGTTTGTGGGCATATAAGCTTGTCTGTTTGCTGAATCTGTGTAAACTGACCCAAAAGATCTCTTGGGAGAAAAAAAATATTTGATTCAAAGGCACATGATAAAGAGCTTGAATTGAATTAAATCAGAAACTGGATTTTTCCATATGGTTGTTGTGATTAAGAAGAGTGTAAGATAACAAGTTGCTTTTTTTTACAAACAACAGAGTTTAAAATGGTTTTTTGCTATTATAAAATAAGAATTCAATGATTTCTTGCCTGAGCAGCCTTCTGTGGCTTACGTGCACACCACGCCGGGCTTACCTTCGGGCTGGGAGGAGCGCAAGGACGCCAAGGGCCGCACCTACTACGTCAACCACAACAACCGGACCACAACGTGGACACGGCCCATCATGCAGGTACTGCTGCCTCCTGGAGCCAGCCTGGGCTGGGCTGAGGGTCAGTCAGCTGGGGCAGCTCCCAGAAATCCGAAATTTAGAGCAAATATCCTAAATTGTCACGACAATACAGAGAATCATAAAAAGCTGCAATAATTTAGGATGGTTTGGTTACTTCATTTAATTATGTCAAGGTCCAGGTTAATGTGATTGCTGCAAGAGAAGGCGTTTCCAGAGATGCAGAAGAGCTCTTAAAAGGAGCCAGATGTGTTGTTTGAATTAAATGTGAAAGTCGGCTCGAGCCATTAATAGAACCATAGGTTCTTGGCCTTGCAGTGGAATTCCATTAAATACCCTTTATGGCCTTTAAGGCAGTCTGGTTAGGAGCGGTGGTGATGATAACAATGCCATCAGTTCTGTGTGTCCTGCGCGGGGGCAGCGTTGGTGACGTTGGTGACCTGCCTTTGCTCTGCGCAGCTCGCCGAGGACGGGATGGTGGGGCCGGGCGCGAGCAGCAGCAACCACCTGAGCGAGCCGCAGATCCGGCGGCCGCGCAGCCTCAGCTCGCCCACCGTCACGCTGTCCGCGCCGCTCGAGGTGAGCCCCTCAGACACCGGGCCCTGCCTTGCTTCCAAGTGTCTTTCCAAATGCTGTGGGCTGTGCACTGGGACGTGGTTAAATGGCTGAAGTGGCTCCCTACGCAATCAAAGCCTGTGCGTGTTTGACTGCTGGCGCTGTGGCTCAAACTCTTTCTCAGCTGCTCATGGCTGTGCTGAAGAGAGCCAGCTCTTCAGATTTCCTCTTTGTGCTTAAGAGGTTGAAGAGCTGTGGCTCACACAGCCTTGCACTTAAAGGCTTTCTTGTAAATGAGATATATTGCCCCTGAAGCACAAAATACTGCTTTTGTCTTTTCCTTGGTAAAATGAAATATGGACACAGGTGCAGGGTAAGGTACAATCAGGTGTAAATACTGGGGGCATTGTCATTGCAGAGGAAGGCACAGAACACCGTGTCCTTTACAGCAAAGAACTGGGCATGTTAGAAGGCACAGATAGAGCTAATTAAGTTCTGGTAGATCAGTCCCAGCATTTAATTCTGGTATGAATTACACCTGGAATGAAAGCTGTTTGCTGCGAAGCCCAGCCGGGTTGGTTTTGCAGCCCGAGCGCACAGCGGTGCTGTTCCCTCTCCGCAGGGCATGAAGGACTCCCCGGTGCGCAGGGCGGTGAAGGACACCCTGTCCAACCCTCAGTCCCCACAGCCGTCCCCCTACAACTCGCCCAAGCCCCAGCACAAGGGGGCCCAGAGCTTCCTGCCCCCGGGCTGGGAGATGCGCATCGCCCCGAACGGCCGCCCCTTCTTCATCGACCACAACACCAAGACCACCACCTGGGTAAGGGTGCTCCAGCCAAGGCCCCCCGCTCCCACCTCTGCCCGCATGCCCCTGTTTCAGCAGGGCTGCTCTTTGTGCTTCCAAGAGCCAAAAACGTGCATGTGCGGGTAAAAGCCCTTGTGGGGTGTGTCCTAAGAACAGGCCTGTGGTTTTTGAAGCATATCCCTGGACATAGCACACATTTAATGGAGTCAGGTCTTACATCACCCTAACTCAGCACTGGAAAATTCATCGCACTGTAGAAATCCTAATAAGTCATGTTTTGTTTTACTGTCCGAAAAGACAAGAATAACTGTAACATAGGGGGATTTCCAGATGAGTCTGTGCCTGACTTTGTAGATCTGCCTTGATCTGTTGGATTTACAGTTGCATACCTGTGTTCCAGGAGGATCCACGGCTGAAGTTTCCGGTGCATTTGAGATCCAAAGCGTCTCTGAACCCCAATGATTTGGGCCCTCTTCCTGTAAGTGATGCTGTGCCTGTGTTCTGACCTACACCTCCTGTCCCAGGGCTCTGCTCTGCTCTGGGCACAGGCTGCTGCAGCTCTTCTTGGAGGCTCTGGAGCCCTGCTGTGCCCTGGGGCTGGCTCAGGCCCTCCAGAGCCAGCCCAACCTCTGCTCCTGGCATTTTTCTGTGCTACTGAAGTGTTGGGCTTCGCACACACTTACCTGGGCTGTGTCTGACTGTGCTTTTAGATAATCATAATCACTGCTTAGGGAAAACCGAGCAGCTTGTGCCAAGCAAGCTCTGTCAGTGCACCAGCATATTCTAGCAATTAGAAATCAGAATAAATTTTGATTTTTCAATTAAACCCCCATCTTTTGCAGAGCAATTCATCAATTTAATGTCAGAAGTTTTGTCATACTTGTAATCAAAGTATAATGGGGATTTATAGACATGTCAAATGCAGAGCTTTGCTTTGTTTTTTAAAATACTCCCAGCCCTTAGAGGTAGAGAGTAATGTGTGAAAGCTGACACATTCCTGGTCACAGCAGCAGGAATGCTCTTTGGCTTTAGGAAACAGCTGTGCTCTTGCAGTCTCCAGGTACATGGGGCGTGTGTTAACCTTGGAGGCACTGAAGGCCCAATTACAATTTGTTCTTTAACTGCAAGGGGCAAAACATGCAGTGAAAGCAGGGTAGCCTGACCTGTCACTAGCAACAGATTGGTAGTCACAGATTTCACCTCAGTTAAACCTGGTTTGGAGCGAGGTTGGGATGACTACAGAATTTAACAGGAGTTTCTCCAACAAGCTTGAAGTGAAATAATTTCTCCTCTGTGTTTTCTGGCAACAGATTTCACCTCACTTAAACCTCCTGGTTTGGAGCGAGGTTGGGATGACTACAGAATTTAACAGGAGTTTCTCCAACAAGCTTGAAGTGAAATAATTTCTCCTCTGTGTTTTCTGGCAGCCCAGGCTGGCCAGCATTGCCTGTCCTACAGCCTGCCATCCGCTCTTCTTTCTGCACTGCAGGCGCCTGGGACATGAGAAAAGGGAACAGCTGAAAGGGGAAGCACTGAGGACTAGCTTAGGACATTCTTGTCCCACTGTACAGGGAGCCTGGGTTACACATTTACAGTAAATAACCCACATGGCTCTCAGAAGTGGGAGCAGAAACTTTCAAACTAATCTGTGATCTGTTCTCTGTGATTGTTTGCTCACAGAGGAAATGGGTGGGAATCCTGAGGCAGGAGGTTTCCACCATAAAAAGTATTCCCTGCACAGGATGCAGTCACCTGTATAAGACCCAGGTGTGAGTCTGCCTGGACTTGTGGCCTTGCCATCGTGCATCTGGGCACTTGGGTTTCCTCCTCATAAGCATCTTTGAGACAAGTCCAGTAGGTGTGAGCAATGCCCTGCTTCAGGCTGTGGGAGACTGGAATTATTTCATTTACTCTCTCTTTTCTTTGTTTTTATTTCCCATTTCCAGCCTGGCTGGGAGGAAAGAATACACCTGGATGGAAGAACATTTTATATAGACCATAGTAAGTAAGCACTCAGGTACTAGAGCAAATAGACAAAGGGAGGTACTAAGTATTGAAGTGAAAGCTTTGTGATTTTACTCTTCATTTAGGAAGCCAGGTGTTGATATGTGGAGACATTGATACCAGAGACTTAGTGCCCTCCTACGGTACTGTACATTCACTGGAAGCTTGCTTTAATTGGCTCATCAAGCTTTGTCCCTCTCTGACTTGTGAAGCATTAACATTTCCTCTCTGTGGTTTATTTTGTTCTTGTTGATATTTTGGAGTTGTTGTTGTTGTTGTTGATGATCCCATGGCTTATTTGCACTTAATAAATTAAAATATAAACTAGGAATAGAAAATAAGATGAGAAAAGATCCTGTAGCCACAGCTCCACATATAGGCAGTGGAGCAATTAGCATTGAGAAGTACTTTCTTCTGCTTTCAGGTCTGTGGCAGTGCTGATTCTGATCTTATTTCCTATTTAGAGCATGTGAAACTGCACCAGCCCATTAATATTCTCCAGTTCTGTTAGTGGAGTTTTAGTGTAAGTGATGTTTCTTTGTAGATTTGTCTTCCTAGAGCATCTCAGAACTGCTGTGTGAGTTTTGTTGGTGTTTGGAAACAAAGCAGCCCACAAAGGCTGGCTGGGTCTTCTTATTATAAGACATTTCTTCACAGCCACAGCAAACTCTCATAACCATCAGAGGAGCGTGCACAGAGAGTCAAAACCTAAACTTACCCATGTTTGACAGAATTAGGTTTGTCCCTCAGTACCACTGACTCCCACGCTCATCCTTAGAGATGACAGTATTAAGTCATTATTAAAAGACTGCCTTTAAAGCAATAGCAGTTTTGAAATGGTAAAAATACTTTCAACTACACATTAGAAATAATACACTTGTCAAGCACCTGATGAACCTCTTCCAAACTTCAGTACAGAGTTATTATCCTTTATCCTTTCTGTAATTGTTTTTCCCAACAGAGATCTGGAAATATAACTATGGCCAATGATTCTAAACTGCTGCCACAGAGGAGTCACAGGATAAAGCTGTGCCATTTAAAACATCTGTGTAACTGCTGAGCCTCCCAGTCTCTCTTAAAACTCTTCCATTTTTCAGTCTCCTGAAGCTATTTGAGCATGTGTTAGTCCCTAAAATGGAATGTTGAAGTCATATATTAATTAGAATTCCTCAAAGAATTTGTAACTGTTAGGAAGCAAAATTTATGTGCATCTGAATTCTCCCTCTAGTCTCTTTTGGTCTGAGTGGATTTAGCTTCTTATATAGCGTTTTTCACAAAAGTTTAGGGAAGCTTTGGAAGCTTTTGGTAATGCTGCCTGTTTCCAGCAGAGGTCCCTTTGGTCCCAGCCTGAGCACTGCTGTGGTGGCCGGGCTGGGGGGCCTGGAGGGCCAGGGGCTGTGCCACTGCCAGGACACAAAACCAGCAGGACAAGTCTGGCAGAGTCAGCTGCTGGGCATGTCCTGCTTCCCTGCTATGTTTTGTACCTCTGCTGCATAGTTCTCCAGCGCTGTTTGTCCTATTTTTGAAATGTTTTTCTCATCCCTGGAAGGAACTGCCCAAGTCCCCTGCAGCCAGCACAGCCCCTCTGCCGTGCCCAGGGAGCAGGGCACTGAGCACTGATGCAGCACAGCAGTGTGACTGGTGCCAGGGTGTGACAGTGAGCCCCTTTCCCTGCTCTCTGGGCCCATGGACACCCTGGTGTTCCCTGCACACTGCTGGGAGCCCCCCAGGCACGTGCTGTTGGAAGGGATCAGAAGGGAAAACAGCCATTCTGCAACCATTTTCTGAAGCAGTGATTCACAGACAGGGAGCATAGATCCATTGAATGGGCTCCCCTCAAAGTCTGTCCACATCCACCTGCACACGGTGGTATTCACCATAGGCATCAGTGATTTACACAAGGAATTAGAGGGAAGCACTCCTTAGTTCAGCAGGAAGCAGGAAGGGGGAGAGGGGCTCACTGGAACGGGATGGGAAGTCAGAGTGAGTCTGGCAAATGGCCCTGCAGTGTGCAGGAACAGGCTGTGTAAGGAGAATTGCAAAGTGTTACTCAGAATGGCAGTAATTAGCAGAATTTGGGTTGAAAAGGGCGTGAAAAATACCATCACCTGGTCATGAGCTATCTCACCCTGTGATGTATTGACAGGAGTGCCTAAATCCAACCTGGAGTAGCCCTTCTGATGCCATCAGCACTGGGGATGTCTGGCTGTGAGAGTTCTGTGTCTGGCAGCGGGTCCCAGACTTCAGGGAAATAGTGCCCCCATTGGAAAGGCAGGGAGAAGAGGGAATCCTCAAAGGCCTGGTTTATGACAGAGAATTGTATTGGTGGGAAGAGTCACATTTTTGAAATTTTTGAAAATGTTGAGACTTTTGAAAATGTTCTTCAAAAAGAATGAGTTTGTTATCCACGTCCACTTGGGATAGGACAGAGAATCCTGAGCTACAGTTCCAGGTGAAGTGGTTCATGCCAGAGCCTTGTAGCCCTGGAGTCCCTGTAAGAAAAAAGAAAAAGAAAGTTAGACTGAGATTCATTGGTGTCATTGCACACCCTGAAGTACAGAGAGCAAAGAGCTGACACACTGCCAGTCATTTCCACTCGTGTTACCTCTGATTCCACAGAAAACTGGCACTCTGGTTTGTGGCTGCTGGTGTCAAGAAGGTCACCAGAGAACTTTGTAGAAGGGAATTCCAGTGTAGGGGTTGAAAAAGGAAAGGGTTGGGCTGCGTGTCCACCTTGGCAGCAGCTCTGCTCCGTGCATCTCTGGGGTCTCTGGAGCTCAGGCTGGCAGCCCTCCAGCATTCCCATCAGTGATAAATAGCTTGAATCTGAGAAGGGAAATAAAATAGTATTTTACTGTTTAATTAACTGATAGATCAAATGTCTTGAAATGTGCTTGCAATCATTTAGAATTTTCTCCAGTTAACATTTGCTGAATGACACCTTTCAGATCCCACTCCCTCTTAAACCAGCTTGGGATGCAAACTTGCAGGGCTTTTCCAGTTCCAGAGACATGGAGAATGCAATCTTGATTCCTGATAGCCAGTTCCTAACCCAGAGCAGTGTCTGTAACAAGCAGAGGGATGGCAGGCCAAGGGTGACCAACACCTCGCCCCTGCAGGTGGCACCTGGGATGGGGTTTGGAGCATTGTCTTATTGTTGCAACACCATTGTTCTGTTGTGATTCTGTCGTGTTCAGAATCTTGGGAGGAGCAGCTGTCTGGAGGCAGGGAAGGGGAGTCCCACCAAGGTCCTGTAGAACCTTTCCTGTCATCCTCCTGTGCTCTTCAAAGCTGTAGATGGAAAGAACTGTTGTGCCACTGCCAGCATCTCCACTGGTCATAACTGGGTGATTTGCTTGCACCAAAACAGGACAGTTCTGCCTCCTTTTACCTTCTCATTAAATCAGAGTCTAGGAAAAATGTTATCCCCTCCAAAATTAGAAGTATGATACTTCAGCTGTCTAGGCACAATTTCCAAACAGTAACCCAGGGTGTCACTGCCAAAAGTTCTGGGTTCCTTTACCCGTCAGGCTGTGTATCTCCAGTCCCAGCCCATGTTCAAATGAAAAGTTCACTCACTCCTGCAGATGTTGCCATCAAAGCAGTGCAAGTTCCCTGGGTTCTGGGGTAGTTCTGTGTTTTTGAGTGAATGTTTTCAACTAAACAGTGTGTTGGAGCTGGGGAGGGTGGGGAGACACAAGCCTTTGCTAACCCTGACAGACCTGAGCAGTGCTAGGGAGAAAAAAACAACAGGAATTCACAGTGTGGTACCAGAGAAGCCATTGGATCATTCCTTTTGTTATTTGCAGATAATAAAATCACGCAGTGGGAAGACCCCAGGCTGCAGAACCCAGCCATCACGGGCCCAGTAAGTACCCATGAAATGACCCCACCCAGCTGGGCCAGCAGCAGCCCTGCCTGCTCCCCAGGTCAGCGTGGGCAGCCCGGGAGCAGGAGCTCTGCCAGTCCACATCCTAAGGCAGCATTCCCTAAAGGGAACGTCACACCAGGTTCTGGGCAGCCTCCCAGCTTGTCCAGGTTTGGGGATGGCTCTGGAGAAGTGCTCCCATGTACCCATTACCTGGGTCATTACTGACAGTAGGATTTTACTGAGCTGACACACCGTTCTGTTTATTTTGGGATCTCTAGGCAATGAAAAGCTCTTCACACTTGAGAGGAGACAGGTGGGCCTATGTAGATTCATAGTGGGGAAAAAAAGGCAAAAAATGGGTCTGTCTGTTTAAGAGGCATAAAGCTTCCTGCAGAGGTTTAAGAATATCAGCCTTAGAAAAAAATAAACACAGCATTTTACTTCAGTGTCAAATATTTAAAATATCAAGGAGTGATTCTTTGACTTTTTCTGCTGGGTTATGCCATTTTATGCCATTTTATGGTATTCTGAGTGATCAGACTTCCAATCCCAAGATGTTTCCTGGTGCCAGGAGTACCTTTTTATTCTGCAGAAGTCCTTGGAACCTTTAAGAGTTTCAGGACACAGCAGATGAGCCTGCTGCACAGTTAAATGCCAATTGCTTAGTAATAATACCAATAATAATCACTTTTTGACCATAGTTGCTTTTGGAGGGATTTACTCATTTATCAGGCATTTAAAACTGGAGATCCTCACCCACGGCACTGTGCAAATTGCTAACAGGCCTCTCTCCAGAAATGCTGAGCATAAATGAGAGAGACTATTTGAGAAAGTTTGTTTGAAAGAAATGAAATTATCATGGTCTCCTGGAGCGACTGACAATGGTTGGTTTGTTGGTTTTGAGGGAAAGCAGGAGCTGATCAAGTTCACAGAAGCACTAAGGATTCACCTGAATGCTTTCAATAGTATTTCTGGTGCCATGACAAACAGAATGACTTTAACTGCTTTTCACCTAGTGTTTAAGTAAAGGAAACACAGAAATGTTTAATGGCTGCAGTAAAGTCATGTTATCAGCAGTAAAATGATGAGAGTAAAGTGGTGTGGTTTTGTGGGACTTTAAATCCCCTGGCTGTGGGTGGGCTCAGGGGGGCCCATAGCACGGTGCGGGTAGCAGGGCTGCAGTCCCGTGCAGTGCTGAGCGTACCGCCGGTGCAGCAATGACGTGTGCTCCCGCTGCTCCCCGCAGGCAGTGCCGTACTCCAGGGAGTTCAAGCAGAAATACGACTATTTCCGCAAGAAGTTGAAGAAACCTGTGAGTAGAACCAGCTGGGGGCTGCAGGGCACACTGCCACCTTACTCCCTTGTGCTGCTCGAGAAGGGCTCACGTAGCAGCCAGAACACGAAGCAAAGTTTGAATGTGATGGCTTTCTCAACAAAAAGCTTTTCTAAGTCTTTAAGACTCATATTTTTCTAGATAAATGCAAAAGCCCTTAAAATAGAGCACAGTCAATCTTTCTCCTTTTTTGTTTTGTTTGTTTGATACTTTTCTTGTCGTTTTCATCAAATATTTACCATAGAAGTCTGCAGCACTGTTCTGGAACTGGCCCAGTTTCCCCCATGCTCAGCCTGTGGGCTGAGAGAGCACTGGGAAATAAAACCATGGGGTACTGGAGCACCAGGTTTCTGGGCTGTCACTGAGCTGCTAGCAACCAGTAATTTGCTCAAAGACTTATTTCTTGAGACTAACAAGAATAATCTAATCTTCTTTCACACAGGCTGACATACCCAACAGATTTGAGATGAAATTACACAGAAATAACATTTTTGAGGAGTCCTACAGAAGAATCATGTCTGTGAAGAGACCTGATGTACTAAAAGCCAGACTCTGGATTGAATTTGAGTCAGAAAAAGGACTTGACTACGGAGGTGTGGCCAGAGAATGGTTTTTTCTCTTGTCCAAGGAGATGTTTAACCCTTACTATGGTCTCTTTGAATACTCAGCAACGTAAGTATCCATTAAATATTTGTATTCTCAAGGGATATTCATTACATTTTGCAAAAGAGGCAAAGTTGCTCTGGGCAGGAGTAGCTCCTCCTTCCCAGGGTGCCCTGGGCAGCCACACTGCCCTGTTCCTGCTGCCCTTCAGAGCGCCTCTAGAATTCTCCTTGAGAACCCAGAAAACATTTCCATTGCTCAGACCATATCCAGGGCAGCAAAACTGTGGTTGTTGAGGCCAGGAATGGTGAAGGGAGCAGTGGCACAGAAAAGGCTCTTTGCTCCGGTGCCCAGTCGCAGCGCTGGGACATAGCTGTGTGCACAGCAGGAGCTCCCCAGCACTGTAAAGGGGGGGCTGCCCAGCTTTGCAACCCTGGAGCAATCTGTCAGTGCAAGGGGAGAGGGCGTCCCTTGCTCACAGTGGGTTTGGTTTGCTGCTGCCTCAGCCCTTCAGCCCTCAGTGGCTCCGTGGTGGGACAGACTGGAAGGGACTCGGACACAGCCCCAAGTGCTGTTGGAGGGACATGCCCCTAGGCACAAGTTATTTATTAACATTTCTGAGTGTGTTCTTATTTACAGACTTGGTTCTTTAGCTGTTTTTTTTCTTTCCCCAAAAAAGGGACAACTACACACTTCAGATTAATCCTAATTCAGGTCTCTGTAACGAAGACCACCTGTCGTACTTCACGTTCATTGGCCGCGTGGCCGGCCTGGCCGTGTACCACGGGAAGCTGCTGGACGGTGAGTGCTGCTCCTGCTCTGCTGCCTGGGGGAGGGAAGTGCACCTGCCTGGGCCAGCCTGCGACTGGCACTGCTGAGACTTACGTGGTGATTCACAAAATTACAGTGCCTCACTCAGCAAAGGTTTGTTCCTTTCTCTACTCGAGTTCAAACTGGAACCAGCATGAGCACTGTCCCTCGAGGAGAAGCATGGAATTTGGATCAGTCATTTCTGTGCAAACCTGCAGCCAGACCAAGGGGGTCAACTGCATATATTGATATGTAAAATTATATTGATATGTAAAATTGTTGCTGAAGGATTTAATTACCATTTCTGCTGTATTTTGAAATCTCACACCAGGCAGACATTATTTATCAGATTTTCCTGAGCCCTGGTGCAGAAAAAGAAGCAGAGGAATCCTGAGCAGAGGAAGCTCAGCAGCCTGGTTTTCAGGCTCTCCTCAGGAGAGAGGAGCAGTGATTTTAAGTGCCCTGAGCTCAATTCCCCAGCTCTCTCTGCCATTAATGTTAGGGTGGTCAGTGGAGTATGGTAGTTAGTGGGTAATTGTAGAAACTGAAAAATTGGACTTTCTGTGCCTCAGCAAACCTGAGCTGCTATGATGCTGTTGCAGTTGCAGGACTGTTGCAGTCAGGAGGTAACAGGAAATGCCAGGGGTGTGCCCTCAACAGTCACACCTTTATGGAATGTGCAGGTGCAGAGCAGGGCACGTGACGCTCTCCTCTCTCTTGCAGGCTTCTTCATCAGGCCTTTCTACAAGATGATGCTGGGGAAGCCCATAACGCTGAAGGACATGGAATCAGTGGTAAGACCCCACTGAACTCGTGCCAGGGCTCACAGGCCCGTGGGTTTCTACAGCTCTGCTCTAATTGCCCATTTTCAAACTGCCTAATTGTGATCTGCCCTAGGACAGCGAATACTACAACTCTCTGAAGTGGATCCTGGAAAATGACCCTACAGAGCTGGATCTCATGTTCTGCATAGACGAGGAGAACTTTGGACAGGTATGCAAAGGTTATTTACATCTTAGAAGTGGTTACTGCCAACAAGTACCTCAGCACTGAGCAGTCCCGTGGTGGTGGATGCACTGCTCAGCCTTCACCTCGCTGTGCTCCCAGCTGGGCCAGGGGCTGCCACGTTCCTGTCAGGGAGCCACAACATCTCTGGGACAAGCTGGATGTGCAGCTGAGTAAAACACCTGCAAGGAGGAGCAATAAAGGTGTCCCACAGTCCAGCTGGGACGTGGTGCAAGAACTAGGCAGAGTATTGAAGCCACAGAATAGAGAGGTTTTGTAATATACTGGTTGGCTTTGGCAGTTTCAATAGGTGATTTAGCTTCTTTTATTATAACAACTATTATAATTTTGTATATGTAAAGTATGTACATAGTGGTTATATTTTATAGAAATACATAATTTTATTATTATAAATAATAATTATAATAAAACTATTAGTAAATAGCCAGCCTCTGCCAGTTTTCTGTCAGCACAAGTTTGTTCAAAAGTGTAAATCAATTTACTAATGATTTCCTGATACTGCTTGTAAAATGCTGCTCAGGGAGAGTGGGTTCCCAGATGTCCTCAAATAACCAGAGGTTTTTTGGTCCTCTGAAATCTAGACATATCAAGTGGACCTGAAGCCCAATGGGTCTGAAATCATGGTAACGAATGAAAACAAGCGGGAATACATTGAGTGAGTATCACCATGGAATGTGCCTGGGGTGAGACAGAGCCCTTGTGCTGCAATTCCTGTCCTTGGTACTGCACAAGAGCATCAGGGATCGCTGGAAAACAAATCTGTTATCATGGGTTATATCCAGTCAGACATAAGAACAAAGAGTAAATTGAATGACACGCTTTGTCCTCCTGAAATTCCCCCCCCGGAAACGTGCATCTCCAACACCTGGCTCAAGTTCAGACGAGCCAGAAGGTGCTGTCCAGCCTGACCCTCATCCCACTGTCCTCCTCTGCCAGGCACAGACCAGAGCCAGGATTCCAGGGCCAGCATTCCTACCAAAAATTGGCCAAATCTGAAACTAGGTTTTATTTTCAGCTTTCTCAGTCCTTTCACCTACCAGGATGTAAAATGCTAAATTCACTTATATCTGCTGGCATTTTAAATCAGGGCCTTTTCCAAGGTGAAAGACACTAAAATTGATCCATTCATGCAAATTGGGAATTCATTTCCAGTGCCTGGACCTGGACCAATTCATTCCATGCCTGGAACTGATTTTTTGTGCCTGCACCTGGGAGGTGTTTGTGCTGTGGGTGACTGGCACTGAAAGCAGTGGTGCTGCAGTTTATTTCTTTATTTATAGGCGAGATGCTGTCCTGACAGCTCTGCTCAGAGCTTACAGACTTTGTTGGGAATTTTTAATTACTCAGTGCTCTGGAAGAATAGTGTCTGCTCACGTAGGAACCTACAGGAGCGAAAATATTCCCACTGTGGTTTGGTCATAGTCATTGGGGGTTTTGGTTTGTTTCTTCAAAATTCCATCAGTCACCAGCCAATAAATTGGAACAACTGGTGAAAGCTCTTAGTTGCCTGAAGTTGCTGAAGTTGTAAATAACAAAGTGAAAGCACTTGGAGTTGCTGAAACCTCTGAACACTTGGCTAAGGCCTGCTAATGAGTTCGTTTTTCTGATGGGGTTTGGTTTCTTTCTGCAGCCTGGTCATCCAGTGGCGGTTTGTCAACAGAGTGCAGAAACAAATGAATGCCTTTCTGGAGGTGAGGCTCTTTAGCTCCTTTCTTTCACAAAAGTAGGGATTTTTTTCTAACACAGATTTCTTGCCCACTGGTGTCTGTGTAAAGGGAGCAGGGAGCTTGGCAGGGAATGCAAATAGAATACTTATGTTTATGATTTTTCAGTTTCATCTTTTGTAAGAATATATAATCTTTCCCTTATGAGAATAAAGTCATTCTCTTTCAAGTTTAATTATTTGAGCTTGAAGTAATTTGGTCATTGATGTTTTCAATAAGGATTTATGTGGGATGAGAATTTTACTTTTGCTCTTTTTCTTTTTAGGGATTCACAGAACTGCTTCCTATTGATCTGATTAAAATTTTTGATGAAAATGAACTGGAGGTGAGTCAATTTGGTGCCCCAAGGTGACAGTTCTCTGACAGATGCTCCATGTTCTGGGCTCTTCAGTCATCCAGCCCTCTCCCTGAGGGAATGTGCAGACACAGCTGCCTTGCTCAGAGTTGGAAATTAGATGTTTCTTCCTAATTAATAAATCTATTCATGACATGCAAAGAACTGCACTCAGGGAGGTGCTTGGGGGTGTGCCTCTGAAAGCAGCTTAGTGGATAAGTGCCATCATGCCTCTGCCAGTCACATTTGAGCCAAACACATGGAAGTTGCTGTCACGTTATATTCCAGTGGCTGGAATATTCTGGGAAGAAGCTCTGACTCCCCTGTGTGTGCATAAATGACTGGAGGTCAGAGGCCTGAGGGGCAGTGCCACCTCGTCACCCCCTGAGTGCAGGGAAGCACACACTCATTCACATCCCACCCTGCTCTCTCCCTGCAGTTACTGATGTGTGGCCTTGGCGATGTCGATGTCAATGACTGGAGACAACACACCATCTACAAAAATGGGTACTGCCCAAATCATCCCGTTATCCAGTGGTTCTGGAAGGTAAGGCTGGCACCACCTCTGACTGGTCCTGTAAGTGAAAGTTACTGCCCTTTTTTGCAATCATTTTTCTTCAAGAAAACTGCTAAGAAGGGGGTGTTGTGCTGGGGGGCAGGACCTGCTCCCACCTCCCTCCGGCGAGGGCAGCTGTAGCTTTTGCTGGAGCAGCAGCAATCCATTGTGTCCTGGGGGCTGGCTCACACAAAAGGCAACTCGTGCTGGCTTTGGGGGGCTCTTGGGGGCCGGCCAGGCCAGGGCGGGGTGTCCATGGTGGCCATTTGCCAACAGGCTGTTCTGCTGATGGACGCCGAGAAGCGGATCCGGCTCCTGCAGTTTGTGACCGGGACGTCACGCGTGCCTATGAACGGATTTGCTGAACTCTACGGTGAGCGCGGCGCGGTGCGGGAGCCCAGCCAGCCTCAGGCCTAAATGCTGATCTCTGAGCTGACTTCCTGGGCGTTAGGCAAGCTCTGAAACCAGCTCACTGGGCTTGGAAAGAAAGAACCACACTCATGTTCCTTTAGCGTACCTGTTACAGGCGAAGAATCCAGCCCACAACTGATGCCAACATTTCACGTTAAAGATAATACTGAGGCAGTCTCTGTAGCAATTTCTGTTTCATATGGTTTTCATTTTCACCCAGGTTCAAATGGTCCTCAACTGTTTACAATAGAGCAGTGGGGAAGTCCTGATAAGCTGCCCCGGGCTCACACCTGGTAAGTCACCAAAGCATAAATTCCAGAGCTGCTCCTGCCAGAAGGGCCACGCTGCTGACCATGCTCAGCTCTGCATCAAACAGCATTTGATCCTGTGGGGCCCCAGTGCCTTCACAAACTGGGAAACTGAAGGATAGTATTTTATTTCCCACATCCTAGTAAGTGGATGTAGTTAACTACAGCAAGTCAGACATTACCAAACAGCCATAGAAATCATTGGAGGATTCAAAACAAATGTAAGATTATAAGATAATTTAACCCTGGTTTATAGATATTGCAAATATTAAAGCATCCAGTACAAATTTGTCTTGCTCTGTCACATTTCAGGAATGTGGTTTTTTAAAGAAAAATGGTGCTGAATTGGAAAACTATCTTAGAGAGTATCAGTACAGACTTGAGGATCTTTCTGTGAAACTAATAATTCTATAGAATAATGAGCTTTAATTTAAAAAAAAACCACAACTGAAAACAAAAGCACAAAACCTACCAAACACAATCAACAATACTACTCTGAACACACTCCAAAGTCAACCCATCTTCTTTGGGTTCCAGTTCTCTGCTAGCTTTTACCTTTGGAAGATTTTCTCTCGGATGTTTAATCTTTTTTCCCTCCAGGTGACAGTTCTCTGACAGATGCTCCATGTTCTGGGCTCTTCAGTCATCCAGCCCTCTCCCTGAGGGAATGTGCAGACACAGCTGCCTTGCTCAGAGTTGGAAATTAGATGTTTCTTCCTAATTAATAAATCTATTCATGACATGCAAAGAACTGCACTCAGGGAGGTGCTTGGGGGTGTGCCTCTGAAAGCAGCTTAGTGGATAAGTGCCATCATGCCTCTGCCAGTCACATTTGAGCCAAACACATGGAAGTTGCTGTCACATTATATTCCAGTGGCTGGAGTAGTCTGGGAAGAAGCTCCAACTCTCCCCTGTGTGTGCATAAATGACTGGAGGTCAGAGGCCTGAGGGGCAGTGCCACCTCGTCACCCCCTGAGTGCAGGGAAGCACACACTCATTCACATCCCACCCTGCTCTCTCCCTGCAGTTACTGATGTGTGGCCTTGGCGATGTCGATGTCAATGACTGGAGACAACACACCATCTACAAAAATGGGTACTGCCCAAATCATCCCGTTATCCAGTGGTTCTGGAAGGTAAGGCTGGCACCACCTCTGACTGGTCCTGTAAGTGAAAGTTACTGCCCTTTTTTGCAATCATTTTTCTTCAAGAAAACTGCTAAGAAGGGGGTGTTGTGCTGGGGGGCAGGACCTGCTCCCACCTCCCTCAGGCGAGGGCAGCTGTAGCTTTTGCTGGAGCAGCAGCAATCCATTGTGTCCTGGGGGCTGGCTCACACAAAAGGCAACTCGTGCTGGCTTTGGGGGGCTCTTGGGGGCCGGCCAGGCCAGGGCGGGGTGTCCATGGTGGCCATTTGCCAACAGGCTGTTCTGCTGATGGACGCCGAGAAGCGGATCCGGCTCCTGCAGTTTGTGACCGGGACGTCACGCGTGCCTATGAACGGATTTGCTGAACTCTACGGTGAGCGCGGCGCGGTGCGGGAGCCCAGCCAGCCTCAGGCCTAAATGCTGATCTCTGAGCTGACTTCCTGGGCGTTAGGCAAGCTCTGAAACCAGCTCACTGGGCTTGGAAAGAAAGAACCACACTCATGTTCCTTTAGCGTACCTGTTACAGGCGAAGAATCCAGCCCACAACTGATGCCAACATTTCACGTTAAAGATAATACTGAGGCAGTCTCTGTAGCAATTTCTGTTTCATATGGTTTTCATTTTCACCCAGGTTCAAATGGTCCTCAACTGTTTACAATAGAGCAGTGGGGAAGTCCTGATAAGCTGCCCCGGGCTCACACCTGGTAAGTCACCAAAGCATAAATTCCAGAGCTGCTCCTGCCAGAAGGGCCACGCTGCTGACCATGCTCAGCTCTGCATCAAACAGCATTTGATCCTGTGGGGCCCCAGTGCCTTCACAAACTGGGAAACTGAAGGATAGTATTTTATTTCCCACATCCTAGTAAGTGGATGTAGTTAACTACAGCAAGTCAGACATTACCAAACAGCCATAGAAATCATTGGAGGATTCAAAACAAATGTAAGATTATAAGATAATTTAACCCTGGTTTATAGATATTGCAAATATTAAAGCATCCAGTACAAATTTGTCTTGCTCTGTCACATTTCAGGAATGTGGTTTTTTAAAGAAAAATGGTGCTGAATTGGAAAACTATCTTAGAGAGTATCAGTACAGACTTGAGGATCTTTCTGTGAAACTAATAATTCTATAGAATAATGAGCTTTAATTTAAAAAAAAACCACAACTGAAAACAAAAGCACAAAACCTACCAAACACAATCAACAATACTACTCTGAACACACTCCAAAGTCAACCCATCTTCTTTGGGTTCCAGTTCTCTGCTAGCTTTTACCTTTGGAAGATTTTCTCTCGGATGTTTAATCTTTTTTCCCTCCAGAGAGCAAAGGATCTGTCCTCTAAATCCAGAATATCTTTGCTGAGCTTCAGGAAATCAGTCCTTTAACAAAGATTGCTTTCCATCATCTAAATACAGTGAGGGGCTTTCTGCTGGCTTTTTTCCTCTCCGAAGTGATTCTTGCCAAATTCCTGCTTCCAGCTTTCCAAAGGAAGGCAGCACAGTTACTGGAGAGCTCACCCTGGGCAGGTGTGAGGCATGCAGGGAACACTGTGGACCACAAGCTGCATTCTTCATCAAGACCCCGAGTTATTCAATCTTCTCTAAAAGTCTGGTTTTCCAGGGATTATGTGAGTGACTCTTTCCTTGTCCCTTGCAGCTTTAACCGCCTAGACTTACCTCTGTATGAATCTTTCGAGGACCTGCGGGAGAAGCTCCTCATGGCCGTGGAGAACGCCCAAGGGTTTGAAGGGGTGGATTAACTCGGCAGCACCTATTCCCTTCTCCAAGCACGTTCTGCTGGCTTTGGCACCTGCCCGAGGGACTCGGAGGGCTCGTGGCACGGCAGCTGCTGGGCTCTGGAGCAGCCCCCGGCAGCGCGGGGCCGAGCCCCGGGGCTGCCACGGGCACCTGGGCTGGCCTTGCTGATGCTCCCGCACCCGTTGCGAACTGATCACATTTCAGCAGGACTTACTCTATTTATGTTGTGCCTCTGTAGGCAAAGCCCTTAATAAATATTTTACACAATTTCTAATGGCAATGAACGGAATTAATAATTTTACAGGTATAGTATTACAACTCATGTTTACTTCTTAATTGATTTAAACATTTTCAGATTTTATTTCGTTACAATTAAATATCATATACTTGGAAAAATGAGCATTTTTCTTAATTTCATACCAGACTTTTTTTTTTCAAAGCACGTTGAGCCTTGTGTTCCTAAACCAGGAGAGTAGGAGAAAGCTGTTGGCAGCTTTCTCTCCACAGGCTGTCTCTCAAAAGCAACTCTCTTCATTAAGCACATCACTGTTGTTCTGTATCCAGGAGGATGGGCTGGATGTTGCATTTTTGTACAAGTGCTAGAAGAGTGTCGAGGCACAGCAGAGCCCTGACACAGCATGTCCAGGTCTCTGTTGTAGATCTCTGAAACTGCCTCCTTACTGCCAAGCTGTACATGTGCTACAAAGCATCTGGGCTGGGCTGGCATTTAGCCTTTGAGGAGAACAGGCTGAGCCCTGTCATTCTCTCTGTACAGTGCTTTGTTTTCCATCGTTTCTGCATTCCTATTTGCAATGGAGGCATTCCAAATGAAATCTGGCACTCTGGAACACAGCTCTGCTCTGGCTCCTGTTTGTGTGCATTTACTAATGAACCTAATTAACACTGGGGTTGTTCATTTCTAACAGCACCAACTCTGAAGGCACTTTCTGTACCACCGGGAAGGCAGACCTGGTTTGAGCATGAAGTGACTGGGATTTTACTCCTTCCCACTACACATGTCCCTCTATGGTGAATTGGGCTGCTGCTGTGTAAAACCCCACCAGCTCTAGACCGGAGCCTGCAGACATGTTCCTCAGTAATTGTTTCTGTGATTCCTTTTTTACTTACAAAGATTTATTTAATATACACTGCTATCTAATCCATTTTGTTACCTGTGACATGTTGCATGCCTACTCTATAATGTCTGAGTTGCATCTGTTTTCTGGCAGATTAAAGGTGACAGATTTGTGCTTGCCCCAGTGCAGTGACATGGTGACAGCACTGCTGGAGCAGGGCTGGTTCCACTGACCTGCAGCTCTGCCCCAGCCTGCTCCCCAGCATCCAAGCGAGATGACACCGCTTACCAAAACAAACTTGCACCTCACTGCCAGCAGTTTTTGAGCCCTAGCCTTACCTGTGTGTCCAGCCACACTGCGGAGCCTGGGACACAGGATCACCCAGCTGGGAAGAAGCCTCACTGCCAGTAGCATTCAGCAGTTATGGTCCCAATCCTGAGGAAGATTAGGGCAGTGCTTGAATGCAGTTCAAGATTCCTTCTCTATTAAATATGCTTCCTGACAATCCTGCCTGCCTTTTTCCATCTGAGGAGCGAGTTGGAACGCAAGACAGTGGCTGGCACCAGAGTAGACAGGAATGTTGGACTGACTGCTTGGCTCTGGGGATAGAAGAGATAAATCCAGGTATTCCCACTGACCTGTACATTAAGCACAGCTACCACGGAGCCCCGGAGAGTCCCAGGAGGCAGGGCCGGGTGACAGCGGGGCGGGGCCGAGGTGATTTAATCGCGGCCCGTGGGCCAGGTGCTGGCTGGGAGCGCGGTGGGAGTAGGAGCTCCTTGTCCCGGCTCACCAGGTGAGTCGTGGGGGCTTCGGCTTCCCCACCTCCTCCCCTTCTTTCTTCTCCCGTATTCCTCGTCTTTGTCCCCGTTCCCTCTGTCCCCCAAAACTCCCCGCATCCCTCCCCCACCCCACCTAGCCCTCCTTTCTTCACCCCGTATTCCCCTTTTTCCCTCTATTTCCCCCACCTTTACTCCGCCCTCCAAAAACCACCGCTCCTCTCCCCCCTCTACCACTCCTTTCTTCTCCCCGTATTCCTTCTCCCCCGTCCCTCTGCCCCCCAAAACATCCCTGCTCTCCTATTCTTCTTTTCTTCTCCCCGCATTCCTTTTCTTTCTGCCCCTTCCTCCCCCGTCCCTCTCTCCCCCCAGCCTTGGGCAGACGGAGGCACGGAGTGCGGAGAGGAAGGAGAGCCGCAGGTGCCGGCGGGCAGGGCCCGACGAGCGGCTTTTGGGGTATTTAAGGCGCGCTGAGGGCGCTGCGGAGCCGTTTGCTCTTCGGCGTTCGGTGAGGGAGGTTGCGGCCGGGCCGCGCCCTATATCTCTTTTTCGCTATATTTCTTATGCGTTTTTTTTCTTTTGTGTTTCTTTTTCTTTATACCTCGCCTTTCTACCCTCCCTTCCTCCCCTCCCCCCCCCTCCCT